CTGATTCAGAGTTATTTCAACTCTCTGTAGAGAGGGAACAAATGTTCTCTGAGCAGAGTTAATTTAACTCTGGGGATTTTGCTGTGTATGACCGCTTTGTATTGGTGGATGATTTTAATATCCACGTGTGCTGTCAATCGAACACTTTATCAAAAGAGTTCCTCAGCCTCATTGAGTCTTTTAACCTGGTCCAGTGGATAAATGACTATACTCACATTCAGGGTCACATTTTGGACCTTGTACTTTCCTATGGGGTGGCAATTAGTGAGGTTGTTATATCTGATTTTATGCTCTCGGACCATAAGCTGTTATTATTTTCTACATCTCTTCCCTGCCTTTCTCATTCCACTACTGGAGATGTAACATTGTCTCGGTCCTATTCCCCTCAGTTTGGCTCAAATTTTAACAAGCACTTTATGAAATCCTGCTCATTCACCGCTACTGGACTTGGATGCCGACCAACAACTTGGTCTATTAAACTTTGCTTGGCTGGATGCCTTAAATGAAACTGCTCCGCTTAAGCCTTATAAACCCAAACTTAAATCTGAACCATGGCTCAACGCGGATATCCGTCGACTAAGTTAGTAGCTTCTTGAGATTTTTCATTGACAAAATTTCTAATCTGAGACTCAAAACAAGCCCTTCTCATACTGAACCCTCTAGTCAGTTGTTGCATTCTGTTTCCTGGGATGCTTTTGAACCCATTTCTCTGAAACTCCTCAAAGACATTATAGTCAATATGAAACCATCGTCCTGCTCTCGACATCATTCCGCCTAAGTTTCTTAAATTAATTGTTGATTCGGTTGGGCCTGGATTGGTGTCCTTTGTAAATAAGTGTCTCTTCACTGGCTCTATCCCTGCTGCCCTTAAGGTGGCCACTGTCACTCCGTTACTCAAGAATCCTTCACTTGATCCTGCTGTTCTAAACAACTTTCATCCTATTTCTGTACTACCTTTTGTTTCGAAGGTGTTGGATTTTTTTTTTTCTAAAGTGCAATGGAATTTCTGAAAGATTTCAATCTGGTTTTAAGTCTGCTCACAGTACTGAATCTGCTCTTTTGAGAGTTTTAAATGACATTTATCTATCCACGGACACTGGTGACTCCGTGGTTCTTGTACTCTTAGATCTATCAGCAGCCTTTGACACTGTTGACCACTCTACCCTGATATCCAGACTAGAGTATTATGTGGGGATAAAAGGTATCATCCTCCAGTGGTTCCAGTCCTATCTCTGTGATCGGAATTTCCTAGTCAAGTTAGGCCATTTTTTCTCTTCTGTTGCACATCTAACCTGTTTATCCCGAGGTTTACTGTAGCTGGATCCGGGCCGGATCCAGATCAGATGGTGGACCTGCGCCTAGACACAACCAAACTCATCCCTGAAGTGTCAGCAGAGATTGTGTCAACTAGACTGACCGCTGTGAAGGCATCATAGACACGTCAGCCATCGGCACTGATCCTCAACAAACCCGTCTCCAAACCGCCGTGATGAATCTGATCTTCAACCAGATGGAACTGGATAAATATTCGGAATGTTCCGATCCAATCTGACTTCTGACTTGTAATGCTGCCTGAATCATAATCATACACGGGTCATTCGTTAACCAGCCCCCTAACTAAGCCTAGTTTCTCCCAAGGTTTTTTTTTTCTTCATTCTGCCACCTGATGGTGTTTTGGTTCCTTGCCAATGTCGCCTTTTTCCACCTTTGTTGCCATTGGCTTGGCTTGCTTAGTTGGGGACATTAAATTTAACATTTAATTTAATATTCAACAATAATATTGATCTGCCTGCATTGAGACTATTATACAAGAATTGAACTGAGCTGGACTTTGACATCACGGTTTACTCCAGAGCGGCAATATATATATATAAATTAACTAAACTTTTTTAAAACAAAAATTAAACATGAACTTATTTAAGCTGGACTGAGATTTGACTGAGAAATTAGATGCTCTGCACGGGGGAGAGCTTGCTCTTCTCCCAGTTGACCCGAAGTCCCAGCCAGGCTAAGTGCCGAATGACCAGGTCCCTGTGTTTGCATACCAGCTCTCAAGAGTTAAATTTGCCAGTCATCAAGGTAGTTGAGTATTCGAATGCCTACTTCCCTTATTGGGGCCAGGGCGGATGCCCTTGGCGACGGGCAGACGAGCATTTCTCGTGGCCTGGAGGCATCTGGACGAGGCAAGATGTCCTAAACACCTCAGTCTACTTTTCTACTACTGAGAACTGCTAGGCAAAGTCCTTTACAGTGTCACCAAATAGGCCACCCCGTGAGATAAGGAGATGAGCTCCCTCATCTCTGCAAGGTAAGCCAAGAATGGCATCCTAGGACCACATATGTGGACATCGTCTGGCCGACAGATTGCGCCAGGACTTTACTTGTTCTGAAAGCAACGACAGCCGCCGAACACAGTTCCTGCATCAATCTCCACTCAGCACTACCCTCGGCAGCTCTCTGCCTGATGGACCTGCAGGACTGCCATGGCACGCAGGGTGGAGGCGACCTGTCCAACAGCACTGTAAACCTTCATCCCAAGGGAGGAAGTAGTCCTACAGGCCATAGATGGGAGTTAGGACAATTCCACCAGGTGGCGGTGCTCTGCGGCCATAAGTGCACTGCGATTGCACAATCACCTGGGGAACCTCATCCATTTACCCCACTGTCGAGGGTAGTGAGGGCAAGGGTAGTAGTGCTCCCATACTTTGTGAGCTCTTCGATTGTGGCCGTCCGAGGATGAGATATCGACCGCACCCACACTGAAGAGAGAGAGACCTGTATTGTGCTGAAATCTAGCAGCAGATGCTCCATTGCAGAGGTGAATGGATTTGCTTCTCATGCAGAGTGAAGTGATGCTGGCTTAGGCTCCAAAGAACAAAGCTGAAATGTGTAGTGCATCCGGCTCACCTTATATACCCGTATGTCTGGGGGCTTGGCGTGCCCTGGCATGCAAATTCTACATGGCAATTCCATTGGCCTTTTTTTGAACATGTTAGAGGTGTTTGGGGCTCTAAAGGGTGGTATTTCAACACAACGTCGAAAGTGATCGACAGAAAGGCAATCAAGACTACACATCATATCAGTATTTTGCCGTTACAGAAATGCAGGGTTCCAACAAAATCCCTGTCTTCGTGTCATTGTGTGTGTGTGTGTGTGTGGTCCTTGTATTCCCTACGTGTATGTGTCCTCACAAAGATGGCAATATCCGAAAGCTTATAAATCATACTAAGTGATTTTTTTTTAAGTTTTCTGTGATGGGGTAGGGTTAGAATAAATAGAATATAGATAGAATATAGAATATCCAGTTTGCAGTATAAAAATCATTATGTCTATGGAAAGTCCCCATGAAACATGAAAAAAACCGTCACAGAAACCTTGTTAAAAAGTCTTAGAGTCTTAACTGACATTTAATTAATCCATAGTGATTTATTTAATTAATAGTACAAACATATTGACTGAGCCACAGCAAATTGTGAGTAAAAATTACCTATGACATAGATGGATTTATTCTTCTTTTTAATTGTATCTATATGTCCCTCTAGTCTTGTCTGAGTCATCACCATGGAAACTGCACCACTCCTGGTTCTTCTCTTTCAAATGGGAAAAAAGGTGATTGTTTTCATTTTTTCAATGGTACCTGATGATATCAAGAGTTAAACTGAAGAGTTATTATCTTTGCTCCATTAAAGGGTTAGTTCACCCAAAATTTTTAAATCTGTCATTTATTACTCACCCTCATGTCGTTCCAAAACCGACTTTAGTTCATTTTCGGAATACAAATGAAGATCTTATTGATGAAATTTGAGCAATTTCTGTCCCTACCACTTTGACGCTTCAAAAAGTTCATAAAGAGATTGTATAACTAATCCATATGGTTTAGTCCAAATTTTCTGAAGGGCGCTTTATATGATGAACAGATTGAAATTAGGCTTTTATTCACATTCATATAAACAGCGACCATAAAGGGAAGGGAAGCTCTTCCGAACCTGATTTGAGCGCAAGAACAAACCTCTTGCGGAAACTCAGGCGTGCTGCATAACGAGAATGAACCTCATTTTTGCATGTCAAGAGAATATGCTCGAGCTTCCATTTACCACAACTGATGTGTGAGCTGATAAATGTTTATATGTGAATAAAACTCTAAGTTCAATCTGTTCATCATATAAAGCGACTGTGTCTTTTCAGAAAGTTTGGACTAAACCGCTCAATTCAAATGGATTAGTTTTATGATCTTTTTATGAATGTTTTGAAGCATCAAATTGGTAGTTGCGTAGCTGTCAATGGAGGGACAGAAATCTCTCAGATTTCATCAAAAATATCTTCATTTGTGTTCTGAAGGTTTGGAACGACATGAGGGTGAGTAAATTTCATTTTTGGATGAACCGTCCCTTTCTTTAACATGCCATTAAAACTAAATAAAGCATTGAACTGTCCCCCTTCTTGCATGTGTGACTGCTAACATGTTATCGCTCATGCAAATTATTTAGGCTACATGAATAACAGTGTCACTTTACAAATTAACAAAAAAAAGTGATGATGTTATGCACAAAGGTCTATCTTTTTATTTTGCATCTTAAATAACTTTTATTTTGTGAATATTAACTTAGATTTGCTGGAGATCAGTACACATTTGGCAGTCAAATAAATAAAAGGGACGTGTTTCTCAAATTATTAGAAACAAGATTATTACTAGAAAAATCACGTATCTTTAAAAGTAAAATGTTGCTTAATTTTTTTTAATGGACAAATTAAAAGTTTTGATGATAACCTCATGATGAATGCTGGGACAGATGTATGGATTCTCTAAAATGATTCTTGGTTTTATATTTACAACAATGTCAGTTTCTATTGTTCGCTTCAGACAGTAAGACGCGCCCAGATTCAGACGCTCTGCTACGTTTGGCTGGTTCAGATTTAAGTCGCGCCCTCTCGCTGATAGTCGATCCTGATTGGTCGACGACGGCTCCGAGTGACGTCATCGCGCGGAATGCCCATTCATCGGTGCAGTTGGGCGTTGGACTCCGCATCTTATTAGCGACCAGGGAAATTTCTCCATTTTCTGTGCAGTCTGGAGTGTTACGGGCACAAATCTAGGATTTAAATAAATACTTGCACTTGCCAGGGTTTTTCCTACCGGTTTCCTTCTCTGAGACTGGGTTCGCTCGCTTCGTTGACTCGCAGTGAGCTCGTCGGCCAGGTGTTTATTCCGGGGAAGAGGCTTCGCTTGTTGCTCTTTGTTCTGTGCTGGGTCTGTTGAGCTCTTTGTTGGAGTGAAAGCATGGGAGCGCAAGTCTCTAAGACAGCTGGAAATGGAGAAACAGCTGCAGAAAAACCCGGAGAGGCTGCAGCTTCACCATCCAAAGCCAACGGACAGGTAACCGTTATAAACCCGGTCATTTCACAGGAGAACTGGTTTAATCATGTTGTGTTCATTATTGGAGTTCTGCTGGAGACCCCCATCAAACAACCACACGAATTATGCCATGTTTATTACCCGGGCGCTTTGTCAATCCTTAATATCCAATATATAAGAAGTTCTTATGTATTAAATATATGTATGATCGTAAAATCTTGCTTAAATTGTTTCCGAAATCAGATTCGGCGTTATTTGTTCAGGAGAAGCCTTTGTTTCGAATTGAATAGCGGTTTTTTTTGTGGGGAGTTGAGGTTGTGTTGGGGTTATGCGGACAAACTATAGGGGATTGTGTGGGTAATAATTTAATTTGCTGTTTCAGTGTGTGTGTGTTTTTTTACCGTCTTGAGAACGAGGGGGAAATGTGGGGGTTGATTGTTAGAGTAACAATGACTCGCCACGCCTTTATTCACAGAGGTTAGACAGACGCTTCAGGATCACAATGGATGGAATCCGTCCATAGGGGAAATCGCATCAGAGCAACGAAAACGGCTGTAATCATCAAATACATTATAATGTGCCATGATGGCCATTCATACAATCGCTGTTTTGTACAGGTTTTTGTGCTTTTTTTGGCGCGGCGTTGGTGGCGGAAGTGCGCCTCTGGCGGTTATGTTGTGTTTTACACTAAGTGTAACGCGCCTCGACTCCTATGGCAAGCCGTTTATACTTTTAATCATTCAGGATATGAATTCTTCATATCAACAATTCAATTTTCACTAGTTAAAATGCTAATTCTTGATATCAGGAGTTAGATTTCTACTAGAAACAATGGCCATTTTTGATTTTTTCCTCAATTTTCCTCACTAGCTAGTAAAAATGTTAATTCTTGATATAAACAATGACGTCAACACTAGCAGAAGTACGAATTCTTGATATCAATAATTCAATTTCAACTAGTAAAACCTATATTTCTTGATATCTGTAATTGTATTTTCACTAGTTAAATGTCTCCATAGGCTGCCATTGTTATTCAATTATTGATATCGAGAATTTATTTCTTAATAGTTGAAATTCACAAATCAGAAATGTAACTCTTAAGGTCCTTGCACACTGAGTTAGAAATTTCTGCACATAAAAAAAAAAAATACAACCTCATGTTGTGTCAGTCACGTTTACACACTGCCTCCGAAACTTTTGTCCGCCATAAAGATATTCGCATCGGGTTCGATTTTCTGCGTTTTTCGCATCCGTAGCAATCATTTTGAGAGGTGTTTTGACAATCCAGAACCACCGAATGACGAATACGAAAATTTCAGACTTTTACTATTACAAATCCTACTGTTTGATATCATGATTGTCATTTTAGATATCTGAAATTACTCTCCTTATTATTCATATCAGAAATACATTTTCAGATATAACAAATGTAACATGTCGTAATACATTTACAGATATCAAGAATTAAAGGGATTGTTCACCCAAAAATGAAAATTAGCCCATGATTTACTCGCCCTCAAGCCAATCTAGGTGTATATGACATGCTTCTTTCAGACGAATACAATCGGAGTTATATAAAAAAATGTCCTGGCTCTTCCAAGCTCTGTAATGGCAGTGAGTGGAGGATGGGAGTTTGAAGCTGGATGTGTAATAATGCTCTGTGTTTTGCTTCAGGAAAACGGTCACGTGAAGGTGAACGGAGACACGTCTCCAGCGGCGGCTGAGGAGAAAGCGGAGGTTCAGGCTAACGGCAGTGCAGATGGAGAGACGCCTGAGGATCCTGCAGAGAAGGAGCCCGCGGAGGGAGAAGAGGAAAACACAGAAGTGAGCGCTCCCGCTGGAGAGGAGTCCGCCAAACCTGAGGATGCTGCAACTCCCTCCGCAAGCAACGAGACGCCGAAGAAGAAGAAAAAGCGCTTCTCTTTTAAGAAATCCTTCAAGCTAAGTGGCTTCTCTTTTAGGAAAACCAAGAAGGAGACTGGAGATGGAGCTGAGGATGCGGTGGAGGAAGACAAAACTGAGGGAGCTGAAGCTGTTGAAGGACGAGCGTTAGAAGAGAACCCCAAACCAGCAGAGGAGCCAGCCGGAGAAACCAAACCAGTAGAGGAGAAACCAGTAGAGGAGCCCAACGCTGCCAGTCCTGCCACTGAAGAGCCCAAAGAGGAGGAGAAACCAGAGGAGTCCGTGCCAGATCCCACTGCCTCTCCGAGTGAAGCGCCTGCTCCCACGGGACAAGAAGCAGGAGCCAGTCCCGAGGACCGCCCCGAACCGGCCACAGAGTAAGAGAGAGAGAGAGATGGAGAAAAAGAACAGATAATCAAGGAATATTTCCGTTGTACAATGGAGTAGTGCCAGGGTATTGGACTTTGGAGAACTTTGTCTGCAACAAGGAATATTTTAATGATTTTTTTAGTCTTTAGGGTTTTTTTTATATCTGCCCCTCCACAAATCTCGCTCGACCAATGTGGTTATTCCTAGAGCTGTGAAATAGATGGCTGAATTGAATACAGAAAAAAAGTGATATTTATCTATTTTTGGCATCAGTATTAACTCTTTGTTTTTTGGGGGGGATTTTTATACAAATAAAACTGTAAACTTGTTTAAAATGTCTGGACATGACTGTGGATAAAAGGCAGCTTGTTTAGGGGTCAAAAGGGGATGCAGGTATTAGGAATGGGAGTTTTTTTTTTTTTTATATATACATGTGGCACCTTGATCACTCAACATTAAACCACAGACGTAAAGAAAAGCCCCAAAACAGAATGACCATCAATTCATCCACTACAGTTTACAACACTAAAGTGATTTCATTTTTTTATATGCTAAATTCCAGCCAGTATAATCAACAATGCCAAGTTTATAACTACATATTTTGGGAACTTTAAACACTTTTAGCTATCTGTGATTTCAGTAGGAAAGCGATTTGCATATGCTTTATGGTGTATTGCTGGTTCTATGAGCTTATTAAAGTGTAAGTATGTATAGAAGGGGTGTTTTAACTGTGATTATTGTACAAATGATATCTTGATCTCAAGAAGCACATGCAGCTCTTTTATCATCCTTAGACCATTGGAGCAAATTTTGAAGTCAAACCAAGCTGTGACACGTGTTCTGGTTCCTGTTTATACTGTGCTCTGTTTTGATTACAACAGATGATGCCTTTTGACAAAATTAAGGAACTTGTCAGATGCAATGTTTGTGTAGCATCTTGTCTCTTTCTTTTGTAAATATTGGAGAAGCTTTTACGTTTGACTTAGAGATTGAATGTAACTTTGCCTACAAAATTTCAATGAAACTTGCTGAAGGTGTTCTACATTTTTTGTGAGTACACTAAAAGAAAAATAAATGTGAATAAAATTTGAATCGTTTCATCTCTTTTATTTACAAGCCATTGATAATTAGTTGCCATTAATCTTTAAAAAAAAATGCTTTTTGTTTAAAACATTTAAAACAAATATTTTAGACAATAGTATGTTGCATTGTCACATGTCCTTACCAAGTGGAGCAAGTGAAGGATTTAAGATTTTAAAGTAATTTTGTGTACAAAAACCTTCATCCTTCCCTCGCGTTCTGTAACAAATCCTTTCCTCAAGGGTGAAAATGATCCGAAGCCCTAAAATTATACTTTATTTTTTTTTTTCAAAAAGTATTTCTTTTTTTGTTCTTTTTTTTTTTAATGCACTTTTGTTCTTTTTTATTATATATACCTTTAAATTACTAGATTTGATCAATAAATAGTAATTTAAGCCCATTCCTCACTAGCCTGGCTAACGTCAGACCACGTCTCATTGCGATTGAGATGTGGTCTGGGAACCACATGTTCATTTTCTCGTATTTGAGGCGTGGTTTACGAATGCCCAGAGCCGTTTATTTGGTGCTACAAATGTCTATCAAATGTGCCTGTACGTAGCTCATAGCCAATCGTTTCAATTATACCAGATGACGTATGTAGAGCGACAGAAATTAGACGAGGAAGAAGACGATGGGTCAGAGATTTATGTGTACACGAATGGCATATCTAAGGCTGCATCGAAAGGTAACTTCGCGTTTGATCCATAGGTATAAACAAACTGCTTCAGTGTGTCGCATAGATGTCGTCATCGTCTTGCTGCTCCCTCCCTGTTCTGTGATTGGTCCCCTCGCTGAGGCAAAAATCTGGTCCATGGTATCCAGACTGCCTAGCAGCGTGAATAAAATCGCGCTGCGCAAAGGCAGCATGAAGAAACCCAGGCTAATTCCTCACATTCTTTCAACTTAAATTCAAAATGACAATTTCATGCATAACCATTTTAATTCAGCTCAAAATATCTTCCATTGGGTGTCTTTGCCGAACTCTTCTGGAAAAAAAAGTATATAACATGATATTTCATGACTCTTGCCACTAGATGGCCTTATAGCTCTATATGGAGCAAATGAGCTGTTTCTGCTGGGTCCTAAAGTCAGTTTTTCTTCAGTATGCATTCCGATACACAATACACAAGTTTTAGCATTTTTTGTTTGAATTTTGAGCATTTTTTGTTTTTTTTTCTATGTGTACTGAAGCATCCCTCGCATTCCATTCATTCCTATGGACGAATGATGGGAACTCTGAACTCCGATCGATTGCTCCTGTCTGCCTTGCTGCTGGTTTGCGTCTGTATGCTCCGTATAGCTTTCTGCTTTGAATCTCTATTTACTATCATTCCTTGTTGTTTATATTGTTAAATATAACTTACTCATCAACATATATTAGATATTGTCTAATATTGCCTATCACATTAATTTGACATCCCTAGCTTTTATCTAAATCGTTATCGCTATCACAACACGCTAGTATCTTGCTAGCATGTTAACCTGCCATCCATGCTTGCCGTCTTGACTGCCTTTTATGAGTCTATTAAACAACTGGTAAGAAGGATCAGTCAACAAACGTGGTGAGTAATGTTATTGTCACTTGCACTTCGTGTCACATGTATGGTATAGCCTTCTCTGTCAGTGCCGAAGGCTTCACATGTGATAAATGCAGGGAGATAGTCAGGACGTGAGATGCTGTAGTCGCGGGACAAATCACAGCTCTTCCGTTCCGATTACAACATTAAACCGGTTCTCCCCACTCAGTGAAACACCCACTGAGAACCATGTTGAATGTTCCCTAGTTATTGGCGATTCTATTACACGGAACGTGAAAATAGAGACACCAGCCACCATAGTCACATGTTTGTCGGGAGCCAGAGCGCCTGACATCAAAGCAAATTTAAAAGTGCTGGCTAATGCTAATGGTAAATTTTCTAAGATTATTATTCACGTCGGCACTAATGATGTTCGACTTGGCCAGTCGGAGATCACATAAAATTAACATTAAAGAGGTGTGTGAACTTCAGTGTTGTGTGTAACGCGTTACAGTAACGTAACTACTTTTTCGGGTAAAAAGTAGTGTAACACGCTACTACTGAAAATTTGGTAACGAAACGTGGTTCCTTTTTCAATTCGGCAAAACGTTACTTTTCCCAGGGAAAGATTTGACAGCGATCTCCGTCATTTGACAGATTTGACAGCGATCGCCATCTCAGTGAACGCCTACAGAGAGAAATGCACACAATGGATTACATAATCAGAGAGTAGCCTATTTCTTTTCGTTTTGAATTGTTTCGTTTAAAGACATTTCAAGTTTTCTATATATAGATATATTTCTCATGTCTGTGAGGCATACGCTGAGTTTCAGTTAATTTATGATGAGATGCGCTCCAGTTCACGCGCAACAAGTGACCGCGCCGGCGCCTCCATGTCATGATTATATTGTCTGCTATATTTGCTTCTTATTTATTAAATCCAGGCAATTCGCCTTTGGCTAAGCCCTGCCCCCCTTAGTTACTGTTGCTACGTCCGACAAACAAACTTCATCTGGGCTCTGGTATCAACATGGCTTATGCTGTGACAGCTCTTCCTGCTGAAATTTTATCAAACTTTTATAAAGCAGCAAATAAAGTGTCCGATAGAAGTAGGCAAAAGGGGCTGCAATATACGTTCGAAGGCTATATTCACGACACATACAGGTGAAACGCAAGGAACAACAAGGCATCCAAATAGAGGCAAAAGTATACCGGTCACAGTCAAAAAATTAACCACCGCATATCCTACTAATCGAGACAGAGGCTGGGACTAACAATATCAAGGAGCAACACTGTTCATGCAAAGCTGGGTAGGTCTCTATTCACTTCTATAATCGTTATTACAAAGCAAACGGACTACGCATAACGTTGTATTTATTAGCAGCGTGTGCTAGACGACACTTGTCAGGATTTGACTTCGGTTTGGGAAGGGGAAAAAACGGACACCCACCTCCAACCTCTCTGGGAAACGCGTATCTGTGTTACAAATTTCCCAGGCACAACGTTTAACCATATTTTTGATAAAACTATGACAGTAATAGCCTGCCGAGACCAAAAATATGAGACGCCTGTGTTAAAGTCAATGGAGCGCTGTGAAAAAGTGTCGGACCACTGTGGGAGCTTGTTCTTGGCTGCGCTGTGATTGGTCAATTTACATTCTAGGGTGTGGCTTAGCCAAAGGCGAATTGGTTGATAAAAAATTTATTAAAATTATGATACAATTTATACAAAACGAAATTCACTTTAACGAAATGCTTTCTTCAAAACTAAACTTAATGAAGTGGTCAAAATCATGTCTGACCGAATGTCTCCCGATATATTGCGCATCCATCTTACAAATGCGGTTCACTTTTCATAATCAACATAGATGGAAAAAAAATAACATTATAATATTTTAACAAATATGAAACTAAATGCGCTTATTTAATGGCTACAACACGTATAGTAGGCCTAGACTCTCTATTTGTACAAATTGCTGCACATTCATTTAATTCTGAATTTTGCACATAAGTTGAAAAAGGCATTTGTTTACGTGCATAGTAAAACATATCTGCAACATTTATCAAGTTCACGGATAATTGTGCGTGCATTTATTAATCATTATGATACTAAAATCATAATAATGTAGGCTATACTATGTACAAAAAATCAGATGAGCCCAGAATATGAACGCAACGCGTTTAATTACACGTTAAGCATTTTCCTCCCATAGAAAACCATTATAAGAAGAACGCTTAGTTTGGCTCAATGTAGATTAGAATATCCCCTTATTATGTCGAAATAACAAGATAAGTTTTCTTTTTTTTCTTCACCATGCGGTTCAGGACTTCCATAGAATACAGCCTGAATATAATTGCTTCCAGAAATTATTTTTGGGGGTGTTAACGGGGTGCTTTGGTCTTTCTTGGGGTTTCTTTCTTTCTAGCCTCTCCCTAGCGCCACCCATGAATATGCCTATCCATTAACGGGCATTTCTTCATAAATATAAAAATTGATAAATGCATTATGCATTTATGGCATTATATATGGCATTATGCACAGTAGAACTTTATGTAGGCCTACGCATTTAGGAACAGATATTGGGTTCTGCCCAAAGTCAAGCAACATAAAAGTAATGTAAAAGTAACGAGTAACGTAAAAAGTTACTTTCCATATGGGGTAACTAAGTAAAGTAACAGATTACTTTTTTTAAGAAGTAACGAGTTACACTACTTTTTAAAAGTAACTTCCCCAACACTGGTGAACTCGCAAGTACGATGTCAGGCACTGTAATTTGCTCTGGCCCCCTTCCTGTTCGAAGGAGTGATGAGAGTTAGTAGACTGTCCTCACTCAATGGATGGCTGTCTAAGTGGTGTCTGCAAAATAATATAGAATTCATAGACAATTGGAAAAGTTTTAGGGGCAAACCTGACCTGTTGAAAAGAGATAGTATTCATCCCTCCTGGTATGGTGGGGCTCTTCTCTAGTAATATGGCACATAGTCTTAGAGTTCAAATATGACAATCTGGGGCTCCGGTCAGGAAGCAGACAGACTGGCTAAACCGACCGTCCGCCAGCTGTCTCACGTCACTGAGGGCAGATAAATCCCATCACATAGAGACTCTTTCACTTAGATATCATCATATAGAGACTGTGTCTGTTCCCCGAATTAGGATAAACAAAAAACTCCCAAACCCATCTAAGGGTAAAAATTTGATTGATGTTCAAATATAATGCAGATGAACAAATGATAAAGCTCGGGTTGCTGAATATTCAATCCCTTTCTTCAAAAGCACTTTTTGTTAATGATATAATTACAGACCATAACCTAGATGTGCTGTGTTTGGGTAAAACCAAACCAATTACTTTACTTTAAATGAGTCCACCCTGCAAGATTACTACTATAAACACAAGGCTCGTTTAAAAGGAAAAATTATTGCTGTAATTTATAGCAATATCTTCAGTATTACTCAGAAATCTTGTTTCAAATATAATTAATTTGGAGTGATGGTGCT